TACTCGGAAGTAAGAGAAATCGCTCGAGCAAGCTCTCCCCATGTTTTCACTCCCTTGAAGTACTAAACTTGGAAGTAAAAGAAATCGATCTAGCAAGCTCTCTCCATTTTTGAACTCCCTTGAATCCCGATTGTATGCCATAAGCCATGACTATTCACATAATCTGACCAATCACAGGTCAGAGGCAACTTGTGTTATCGTGATTATTCCACTCATTGCAAAATACACGTTTTTGATTGGTTGAAATATCTGTGTTGATAATTGAAAACATCATGTTCTCGTTTTTGTATTTCGGCTGTTGATTGGCTACTGGATACCTACAAGTCTGTGTTTTCCAGTTTGTATTTCGCTTCCTCATTGGTAGTTTGATCAAATATAAAACGAAATGACATAGAAAAGACTTAAATGCAGCAGGCTGTCATGGATATGGATGTTTGAAGATTAGAAAATGTTGTCGTAATTTATTGTGTCATTATATTTCATACAACACCTCGTCTTGATTATCGCCCCAATTTTGCCAACACCCTGTATAGGTATTTTTGTTGCAGCTATCACATAATTTGTATGATGTGTTCCCGAACGTTCAAATTATTATAGATTCACTTCCACAGTACCATATTTCATCCTGAACTTTTTACACTTCCATATAGATCACAATATTTTATAGAAAATTTGTCGACAGTAAATATTCAAAACTGGATTAATAGGGACATGTTCAATTTAAAAACCCATTCGGACATTCGCAGAATGGCTTTGGCATGAAAACGTTATGGCTCAACTGGCCATTAAAGTCATTTATATGAAAACTAATTTATATAAAAATGGCTCATAGCGAAGTTTGTCGTGAAAGCTAGCCAGAATTTGATACGATGCAGAGCAATCCAAAAAGTTGATTCTCTTCTGTTATTGATACAAGGTGTCTCAAAATTACCAGTCATGAATCATATTGGAGATCTCTTGTTACACATTTTACATCTTGAAGTTTTCCAAAAATATTTTGTTGCTCCGGTTTTCTCTTTCGATATGATATATGATATATGTTCAATTATAGATTATTGATATTCCAAACAGAATACCCTGTATTTCATAACATTTTAAGATTCTTCCTGAAGAGCTGATTTTATCGATGAATCATACTTGGGGTCTATAGAAAAAGATTACATAGATATAGGGTGTTCAAAATCGAGATTTTTCAACTTTAGGATTTTTTTTGTAGAAAATATTCATTATCGGTCGAAACGACTCACATGTACTATCGGAACAGATATAGGGTGGTTCAAGATTCAGAATTCCGATCATAACTATGCTTAATATAAATTTTCCTCATTGTACGAGAACCGACAAAGAACACTATTTTTTGCAAAATACTCAAATTTGGTCTATTTTTAACTTTCTCTGGCTCATCACCATCATATGTAGGAATTCTCATCTACTTCAACTTTTTATAGGGTGGTCTTTTCGCTAAAATTTATAGTTCCCAAGTTATATACAATAAACTGAAAAAAGTGCGAAAATTTTGCGGTTTCTTGCGAATATCTCGGAACCCAGCATCAGGAAATTTTGTTTGCAAACTTCAGATTTAGATTCATCACCCCTAAAAACATACAAAAACCGCAGAAAAACCGACTACTTGAATTTTTTCACGTGCAAATACCATTTTCATTGGACATTGCGGCAGTGAACAAGTTTGAGTTAGTATTTCAAAATTATGAAATGAAATTTTCCACTGAAACAGGTCCATTGATAATATATCCATCCGATACATTATGAAATTCAGTATACACCACACCACTGCAGAGGAGCACAAATGGATTTAAGTGGAAATGCAGTTTTCGTGGAAATTTTCAGGCCGATGAGCATACATCACACCGACTTTTTCACGTCCCACATTATTTATAAATCTGGCAGTTTCATGTCCTTGCAAACTCTCTTTACAATGAAAACAACACGAAAATACTTTCTCGGAATAGACAATCTGAGCATATAGGATTCATATGTCACAACATGCACCATAATGCATTTTCGACTAATTAGATCCAGTGAAAAAGTGAAACAAAGAAGAAAGAAGTGTTGATACATATCAAAATTCCACCTCTCACGAAAATTTTGATAATCCGACATTCTGAAAAGTAAGTAGTTTCAGTTCATGGTGGATATATGAATGATAGTCTTCGCAAGTGACAAGAAGTCGCTATTAATCACATGTCGAGTTCGAATTTCTCAATTCGATATATTTTTTTATGTTCTGGTTCCCACGAAAAGGGATATCCTGTAAAGTTCAGAGAACATCGTGAGAAACAAGGGAAATAAGGTGGGGATTAGTGTTCTTCTTAAATTTCTGGAGGTTATATGCCTCGGGGAACACCTCCCTTGGCAATGTGTGCCAGAGCCTCGCTGTTCGTTGAATGAACGAGTCTTTGGAAAGAGATGTTCTGCAGGTCTCCGAAGTGACCACGAAGGGGTGCGAAGCCTCAACTCGACGGGTTGATCTCGCGGGGACTGCCAAGGAAGGAACATTTGTTGTTATTTCTGAAGAGCATCGTCCATGAAAATATCTATAAAATAGAGCCAGATCGCCAACTTTTCTACGGTGCTCCAGAGAAGTGAGTGAGTTTGTGAGCGAGGCATCACCCACGAGACGAATTGCCCTTTTTTGGACAGAATCCAACAGTTTCAGGGTATGTTTGGGTGTTGCACTCCAAATATGGGAACAGTATTCCAGGACAGGTCGGATCTGTGCCTCATATAAGCAGCTGACTGGAAGTGAGATAGCTCCTGGCCCGAAACAGAAAAACAAGTTTTTGGGATGCACTTCTAGCAATTGATCTCACGTGATTTTCCCAAGGAAGGTTCTTGCTGATAGTAATACCAAGCATCAAAATGGATGTCTTCGAAGGTATGGTTACTCCTGACAAGCTTATGTTGGTCACAGTAAGATCGGCTTTTCTAGAGAAAAGGCATGCTTGTGTTTTCTTTGCATTGAAATCTACCAAGTTATTGAATCCCCATTCGAGAATTGTTGCCAAGTCCATATTTATGTTGTCAACATTTCTCCCTCGTTCGTTTCTGATTTGCCTGGCTGGTATTGGAGCCCTGGAAGAGAAGGCGGTATGGAGGGTACTATCATCCGCGAAGCTGTGTACTGGACATGAAGTTGCTTTCAACAAATCGTTGATATGGAGTAGAAATAGTATTGGTGCTAGAATTGATCCTTGCGGAACACCAGCATTTATGATGAGAGAGTCAAATGAAACTCCGTCGACCACTACATGGAGAGACCTGTTTGGGAGAAAACTAGCTAGCAGAGAACATAGCTGGGGGGGCAAGCCATAAGATTGAAGCTTGGCGAGGAGGAAAATTTCTATTGATCATAGTTAGACATCGAATTGTCCTAGCTCCTAGCAAGAAACTCTAATAGCATAGGGGACAAGCGAGTTATCACCTGTGATTATAAAGTCGACCCTGCTGATTATAACTCACCTGCGATTATTATAGATATAGAACCTTGTTGCCACTAGCGAGTGCATCTGTATATTGCTATTAGACGATGTTCCTGTAGTAGGTATCTGACTTTGCTACCGCTAGTGATTTCATCTAATAATGGGAGTAGGGCAATGATTTAATCGTAGGTAGAGAACTATATAAGAGCTAATCTCGGTGGGTGAACATATATCTATATGTTGTTGCGACGGAGTGTTGCCCATCTTCTGCACACTTTTTCCCCGTACTGATGAGGGCCGAAAGCCCGAAATACGTGTCTATGGTTAACTCTTCATGAGGGCTATATCCAATAATTTTATCCTTGTATGTAGTAGCCAATAAATTGATACAATATTTCATTTTCTCATCATGAAAGCAAGCTCTGAATTAAGGGCGGCCATTTCTCGTAACGTTACATGTTGAGTACGCTCTGAGTTTTGAGAATGCCAAGAAAAAAAATCTGAAGCAGACATCATTCCATGGAACTTATTTTCATTAGGGTCATCCCAATCAGCTCATGGTTAACGCAGAGATGTATAGAAATTCAACTGGTGGGCTCACTCTTCAATTGTTTCGTCAGACTAACTCTCGATATGGAACAATTGCAAGCGAGTTTTGGACGTGGGGTTCAGGTATTTGCGATAGAGGCGCCATAATCGGAAAATCGTTCAAAACCTTGGTTCTGTGAGGGATGACTCTACTTCCATCATTGTTCTGTGGTCGAATAAATACTGTGCTCAATATTTTCATTCAAATTTCAATTTGAAATAGAAGCAAGAAATCTTTTTTGTAGCCGATTTCAATAAGCTTCACTTCTTTCATGACATGAACCTATTTAAAGCATGAAATCTGATGAATTTCCTCTTTGAATAACCAGAACAAATAATGTATCAACTATTGAAATAGACCAATATCGAAAATCATAATAGGCAGATATGGTAACTGGTACTCACCTTAGAATTCATTCACACCAGTTCACGCTAATATTTCATTCATTATATTTGTAGAACAGAGATTTTCTTTTTTTTATGGTGGATTAGGTATTATACACAAAATTTAGAAACTACGGAACACGTCCCTAACGAACACTTGACCCCAATCTCAGAAATAACCATTTTTTCAGCTCAAGAGTATTTTTGACATATTGACGTTTCGATCCTTTGATCAGGAATCAGTTCACTGCTCTGATCCAAATCATATACGTATCCAAATATTTATCGGTCGGTAATATGTTTCCTGTAAATATGGATTGTAACTAGGATGAGCTTAGCGAGATTTACCCACGTCAAGTATGTTTATCAAAGGTTTATCAGAGTAGGCGCGATCGGGAAACTTGCAAACGACCTTCAATTGGGAGCAAGCGCACCAGTTAAATTTCTATACATCTCTGTTAAAGCTATAGCTTTTTTCATAGTTCATGATCTTTGAAAACAAAAACCTGAAACAGTCTATAGCAATCATACTTACCATATGTAGTAGTCCATGGATTTTGTATTTTCTATCTATCTGCTTTTTTACAGGAAAGATGCGGTTAGCAGATATGAATCCCTTTATCAGCAGAGCAGGCCTAGAGCTATGGAAGCTCTAGATGCCCTTCCAGACCTCAAGCATGCAGCACAACTCAAAGCAAAGATCCTTTTTTCCGTTGTTGTGGTAAGCCATAATTATGTATAGGATGATTCAATTTTTTTTCAAAAAAATTCGGTGGGTTATAGATCCTTGAGAAATATTGAGGGCATACTTTAGTTAATTTAGGCCAAACATGAGTAATCATCTAATATTTTCTATTTCTTGGATTTGTAATGCAGCTTTTGCTAATGCGAAGAACTGAAGAGGCATTATAATAAGACGGGTGTTTAGAAATAGGCCTCCTCCGGTGAAAATAACTACATTCAGTGCAATTATCAATCACTATGACAACACGATCGACTTCGACAACTTCAATTTATTTTCACTTGTAATACCATTAGATGTCAAATTATTTCCGGAAATTTTTTCGAGCTCATCGATATTTTGAAAATTACTTCGAGTCAAAGTCGAAGCATCGTTCGGGTCAACGGCATTCACTAGCGGGAAAGTATGACTTTCCACACTTTTTAGGAAAATTGCTGAATCGCAATTACTAGAAATGCATCCATTAGGTGATTTTTACTATTCAAATACTTGTGGCTTCTGTCACGAAAGAATTAATGTTTATGAAGTCAAAGCCTATATACTGAGATGTTGATGTAAATTGTAAACACCCGATAGAAGCTATATACTATACAGAAAACGTGTTTTTGATTGATGCGAAATAAAATTCTATTCTTTCAGCATGTCAACCTCACATGCTTTTTCCTTTCAAAACGGGATCCTGTCGTGTATTTCCCAGGACGAAACAGGAATAAAAGGGTCTTTCAGTTCACAGCCCTTTTCTCCTGGAGTATGCAATAAAATACGTCTTCTCGAATGTCGTATTTCAAACAAGACATCGGTGAAGGATGGTCTTATTTCAGAAACGAGACTGGCCCTTCAGTGTGTGTGAAATGTGCAGATGAATTCTTCACATTCACATTGGGAGCGACAATTTTTCACGAGAGAAAGAAACTATGCCGAGCACTATTTGAATTTCGTCGAAGAGATAGGATACAGGGTTGGTTGAGTTGGTTAAGTTATGGCGAAGTTGCGCAATTTTATGACTAACAAAATGCCGTTTTGAAATTTGAAAAATTCCGGATACTTCCCAAAGATTTTTGGACGAAACCGAATATTCCTGTTTTCTTTTCAATTTTTTCATGACACTATTTGTATGGATGTAAAAACATAAATAACGCATTCTCTTCGGTACTTTTTCTCTTCTACAAAATGCTGTTTCAAGTATGGCCCTGGATTTGTCATTATGAAATTTAAGATTTTCTGATCTCTTCTGATTTCAACAGTGTATTGCACTTATTCTAATCCATAATAAAAATCTAGTGCCTTATTTCAAAAGCCAGAGTTGATGATGGCAGCTCAAAGACGAAACGCTGGTTTCAAAGTCTGATAACACCATCTAGTAGAACAGAAAAAGTAATAATGAGAATGGGTAATTTGTATTTTTACATCTATTCTGATACAGTAATGAAAAAATAAAATTGAAATTGCGAATATACAGTTTTTTCAAAAAATCTTTGGAATCATTCGGAATTTATAAATTTCAAAACGGCATAAAATTGCGCAACTTTGCCATAATTTAACCGACCCTGTATATCTTACGGTTACCGAGATCCTAATGATGAGGCACGAATTCCAGCCACCCCGTGCATTCTTTATTATTCATATTTCACTAATCCACTTCTCTGATTTGCGGAAGAATATTTTAAATTCCGATTAGAACTGGTGCATTCGCCATTTATTCAAATTCTGTGATCAATTGATATCCTCCATAATATCAAGATTCGCATTATGGAATATGTGCTTCAAACTCGTTTTCATTACGAAAAAATTGAATGAGCAGTCTGTATGTTATGTTTCAGTTATTTCAGATGTCGGAAACAGAAGATAATTAACAATTATTGTAATACGAGTTGATGGTGAAGTAACTTCTTCCGCCAAATATTGAAAATTTGCCAATTCCTACTAATCTAATCTAACTATACAGGGTGTCCAATAATTAGCCTGCCAAATTCCATCAGCGGCTAAATCAACGATCGAGAATAGGAAAAAAGTTCCAATGAAATGAGGCGAAAAATAGGGAACTACGGCCCTTTAATGAAGGCTCCTGAAGATGATATTTCCTGAATATTCGCCATGTGATGAAACGATGAAATTTGTTACAAGAACTAAACTTTCTATACCCAATGCACTGAAAATAAAATCATTCAAAAATTCCATCTGGAAGTGTATAATGTAGCTCAATAAATATTACTCAAACTTTTTTGTATTCTGATTTTTCGACAATTCAATCTCAGATTATGAAAATATACACCATTTACAAAAGGAAATTGGTCCGTATCGATCAGATGTATAATTTTTTAGTGAAATCGATTCAAAAACATTGTTTCATCTCACATATTATGAACTTCACCGTTCAAATAAATGTGGCTATAGAAAAAATCCACTATTTGTTTTTCACCAAACAATGGGCGTGTACACCTTAGTAGAACTTTTAACTCAAGCCATGGTTATAATGATCCTTTTATACATAAATAATGATTGACGACATAATTCGATCGAAATATTAACTGGGATGTTTCATTTTTGAACATAAATAATAGTGCCTTCTGAAAACGGACCCTCTTATGACGTAGAAACCTCATATCGCCATAGTTTAAAGATAGAAAGAGAGAAATACCAATACTGACCAATACTGATATAACAATTCTTTCAACTGTGATCTCGCACTAATTCATCACTCTGTCAGAAATCATGTATCATTCATCTCTGTCTAGAATAGTCTAGTTTCAGTATTAGGGTTTTGACGTCACATCATCGCCTCGTTTTCAGAGGTCCGAAAAATCGGGGATTTCAATAATTCTTTATAAAACGTAGGGAGCTCACAGCAAGAAACGGGTTGCGGTGGTGAGCTAGTTTGGGTGAGTTCTATCGAATTATGAAATGAAATTTTTTCGTGATATAAGTCCATTCTTTAGAGGCACGTAAAATAGGAAGACGATGATGAGAACTCACTCAAATTTTTTTGGATTTTTTCCCATAGCTACTACGATTAATTTCACAATGTTATGCATGACAATCATGTGAGATATATACAACAATATTTTTGAATACATTTCACTCGAAAATGATACATCTGATCGATACGGGACAGAGGCACCTTCTTTCAGTGATGAGGTGTGAATTTCAATGATCCGAGGTAACATTGTCGAAAAATATGAATAGAAAAAAGTTTGAGTAATATTTAATGTAGTTCCACCCTGTATTATACACTCATGAATGAAGTTTTGGAATGATTTCATTTTTACTGCATTTGGCATAGAAGATTTTGTGCTTGTACTAAATCGCATCATTCTATCACATGGCACATGGCGTTTCGGAAATATCATCCTCAGAACACCGCTTTGAGGAGGCCATACACAGTGTTGCAAACACGGCTAATTTACGACTAGAACTGGCCTTTTCAAGAGGTGATCTGGCAGGTAAAAATTGTATCTAGCAGCTAGCGGATAATTTAGCCATTTGAGGAACCTCTAATTATTTTTTCTGGCGTTATATAAATCAGTTTTTAACCGAACAACATTAATCCAGAGTTACCCACCATTCAAAGTAGGTATACCACTTTTGACATTATTAATACACATTATATGGTTTCATATAATGATTCTGCCACTTTTACCACAGAATAGTAGGTGATACTATTACCATATGCGTATTAATAAACAATACGGATCATAACGGGTGCCAGGATGAAGCCAAAAATATGAAACAAATGAATATCCATAAGGATTTGGTGGCATGATACGCATGCGCCATGCGCTATTATAGTAGTCATCAAAGACATACGTTTCAGTGGCCAATGACGTTTACTAGCCTTTCAATCAAAGCAGTATGTGTCTGATCGTTTCAAAACTTTTCCTTAAGGATAGTCATTTGTCTTCAAAAATCGGCTTCATGTTTCGCTATGGAAACAGATAGAGATTATCCGTATTGATTATTAATACGTATATGACTATTACTGACTAAAGAATGACAACTGACAACTGACGACATGATTCAATATTTATTTAATATTTTTTTTATTTATTTCATTCCATCAAAAACCATATTTGCATCCTTATTTTTTTTTCTTTCGCAATTGCATTACCTCGTTGGTCCCAGCACTGGGACCAAACGCCCCATAAGTCGAAACTTGTGCGGGGTTAGGTGAGCATACAAACATCCATGGCCTAACTAGGATTCGAACCTATGTCTCGGTGGGAGTCCCCATACGAACTCAGCGCCTTCAAGCTCTCGACCACCGAGCCGCCTCGGCCTCGAGCCATAACTGAAACATTAACTTCTAACTTCTAAACACTGAAATTGCGTTTTCCATTCGACTGAAATTATTATAGTCTGTGTACACAGTGAAAAAAAAATTACACCAGTTCACACCAGCTAACACAATTGGGTGTCCCCTGAGGTCCTGATCATTTTAGTGGGAATTAACTCTAATATTTTTAACACCATCATAGGGTGTCATTCGTTCTTACATACAGTCAAGAACTACACTAGAGTATCTAGAGCTAATTTGATCGATTCGTGTTATTCAACACCAGAGTGGTGACTGTACAATCATTTGGTGATTATTTTGACACTGTATCTGTTGCGTTTTTACTGATGATATTATGATAATATGTGAATATTTGTCGGATATTCTTCTGTTGTGAAAACACACTTATCGAGTGTTATCACGCTGAGAAGCAGTGTTTTCTTGTATGCATCTGAGTGTAGAATAGCACGACTCTGATATACTAACATTAGTATTCAGTGTATGAAACGATCCAATGTAGTGAGAATTGTGACTTACAAAACATCTCTGAGCTGATACTATTTGTAGGCTGTCGAGAAACGTGCGTCGAAGGAGCGCTAGTGTCACCATCTATCAAGAAATTCACAAAATATTTTTCTGTGCACAAAATTTCTACTTTAATATTCAATTTTATGTTCAATCTGGTTCGATATAATTACTCTATATTGCT